ATGCTTGCACCTAACAAAGGAAAACAATATGATGAAGCTTTCAAGCAAAAGAAAAAAAGCGGTATATCTTTGTATCTTTTTATGTCAAAATGTTTTTTTATGTTTCCTCTGTACAGTATTTCAGGTGGGAACTGCGTCAGCATGTTTAGGCTACAAAGGAACAAGTAATAGGTTTATTCCATGTTGAAAAGATACGTTTATTCTGGAATAAACCTCTTACTTGTTCCTACTTGTTCCTCTGAACAGTATTTCAAGACATTGGCTATTACTGGTGCTGATTGCACCATCTCTTGCAGTTCAGAAAGGACATGACAGCCACCACTGTAGGATTTCGTTTCATTTCAAAAACTGTAGATGGATCCTTACTCTGAAATGTTAAACTACCAAACAGAACAGATGGGCTGAATGGCCTCCTTTTGTTTATATCAGTTTTATATTTCCATGTTTTTAATATGGACTTTTTAATATGGATGACCAAGCTGCCAGGGCAGAGGTATACTTTTGTCTCCCTTTATGTGTCTCACTTATAGTACCATGACCATGACCATGATCCCAATACCATTTACTATATTAAAAAACTGACAAATTGTGTTACCGGGACAACCCAACAATTCAGGTAAATTACAGGCACATCACATCAGTACTGAATAGCTGTTACTCTGCACTTTAAAAGAGGTTTTGAGACAGCAGCCTTACAAATGCCAAAAAGGGGGAAACATACTTGTCCCGGGAACCTCACTGATCTAGAGTAAAAAATAAACTAAAAAATTAGATACTACTGAAGTCTGTCAATTTGGCAAAACAGTTTTTTTTCAGGTGTCTTGTTTTGCCATGATGGCTTTCATCAACCTTTGCTTCGATTCTCTACAATATCACTCGCCCTACCTTTGCCCACAAAAGACGTATTAAAAGGTAGTTCCTGCATCAGCCCGTGTGACAGGCCAGAGCTCCCCTCCAGGCTATGACTTTAACATGGAGAATGTTATTTAAAACAAAGAAAATTCATAAGGAACAACAACGATAGTGATGTATTTTACACAGAAATCAATCAACCCATCAATGAGAACCATGTTGTAATGGTTCTGTGTCAGCGACGTGGGGAGTACCAGGCAGGAGATGACTTTTACAGGCCCACCGATAGCTTTATTGCCCTTCATGGTACAGTGGGGTGTGCTGATCATGGGAATAGAGAAATATTCTCTCTGGAAAGGCAGAGAGAGAAAGAGCAGGGATCCCCAGGGGACAGAAGAGGAAACAAGATAGAGGGGGGACTCCTCTCCACTTTCACAAGGGGAAAAGGAGGGAAAGGAGTGGGCCTTAGGTAAAAGGGGAGAGGTCATGGGGTCAGTCCAGTGTCCAGCGGTGCAGAACACTATAAAATTTAAGTGACAGAATTATATTTATGCTTTGACTAAATGGTTTGGAAATGTGCTTTTTAATTTTTTATTTATTTTTAGCTATGAGTTTATCCAATACGTTTTAGTGGTTGGCAACTGAATAAAACCATAGAACAACTGAACCTTTTCAGTTTGGAACACAAGAGATGAGGGAGGGGGGGACTTGGTACAAGCATTTAAATGTTAGCGAGGTATTGACAAATACAGCCCAATTGACTAGTTTATGCTCAGCGATATGAAAGGCAGAACTAGAGTTTATGAGGAAACGTACTGTAAAGTATTTACTGTAGCACCTAAAATAGGAGGAACTTTCTCACAGTGAGGGTAGTAATGGCTTACTCTTTTGTGTACCCTTATATTCTTACAAATATTGAGTTTCTTCCGTGCAGCAGCATGCAATCAGCTAAATATTGCATTCGGATTGTGGGCGTGCTTGGTTTTTAGTAGCTTACTGATCCTAGGATCTCATTCAGCTATTTCTTGAAAGGCAGGGCAGTGATTTTTACAACATTGCTCAATAGGTTGCTCCATGCACTCCCACAACCCTTTGTGTAAGAAATGTCTTCTGTAC